TTGTTACCAGGATAACTCACTACATATAGACTAGATATCCTTGTTACCAGGATAACTCACTACATATAGACTAGATATCCTTGTTACCAGGATAACTCATTACATACAGATTAGCTATATTGCTACCAGGATAACTCATTATATATAGACTAACTATCATTGTTACCAGAGAGGGGTTATCAGGGGAAGTAGCCAGCACTGCAGAGTAGGTCGTCTACCCTTACACTCCCCAAATAAAATATTGTGGAGCTTTTCTTCTGCACATAAGAATTTAAGTGAAATGATTATTTATTTTTAAATGACCTGAAAATAGAGGACCTTTTGGACTTTTTAGAATATTAGGGTGGTCATTCTCCACCGAAGCGGTGACTGAATTTATACTTTTCGACGGACTGGGACGTTTCTGGGTTACCTGGAGCCTCAGGGTGCACGCGCTTTTTGCGACTTGTATTTCCGCTGTGAAGCGTTCTGGGATGAATAGTGAATAATTTGATACTGGCTAACACAAACGTGTAGACCTTTAAACCCTGGTGTCGTCAAAACGAGTAACCTTTACGGTTTCCTTTACAAGACACGAATATACGATGAATAGAGAGGGTTCAGTCATTTCAGTTTTCCACAATACACATGTACATTAGATTAGTAGCTGCGGGCTGTTACTTGTAAGTTAGGGCCTGTTTTAGTAAAAAGACAACCCGGGCCGTTTTGAAAAAAAAAAGAGGGGGAGATGAGCATTATCTTGTGTAAGACGAAATCAAATTATGACAATTATATACAAAATTTTAGTGATGAATCCGAGTGGCTCAGCGGTAAGTTTCTAAATTTATAACGTTAAAATTTGGGGCTCGATTCCCGCAGCGGACACAACGCTAGTAGCCCAATTGTGTAGCTTTGCACTGAAGCAAGCAAACCGTTTATTAGTGATACACCTTAAAAATTAATCAACAGAATACAAACAGCTTAATTGCTATTGTCACATAAAAAATCGGGTTTCGAGACCCTTGGTGAGCACAGCACATCGTGTAGCTATTGTCACAGAACGATGTGTGCTGTCTTTAACGTGTCCATCTTTCATTGACAGGTTTTTGAGGCTATCATTTTTTGAGCGTGAAAGTTCTAATCCATCGAAATCTCCATGAAATTATAGTATAAAACCAGCAACACGTAATTTTTGCCCTCGTTTTGATAAAATTTGTCTGAGTAATTTCGAGCCCCCTTCCCCTCACGGGCTCATCTGTAAATCTGAAGACTTATAACGCTAAAATCCAAGTTTGGATATCCGTGGTGGACACAGCACAGACAGTCCATTGTGTAGCCTTGTGCTTAATAATAAATAAATAAAAATAATTTCCAATGATATATATTAAAGAGCATTGCTCTATTTGTTTTCTATTGTTTCACGTTATATATAAATTTTTAGTGATGAACCAGAGTGGCTCAGCAGTAAGCTTCTGGATTTATAACGTTATTTCTTTTTTTTTGATGATGTGAAAGATCACGAGGTTTCGTGACGTGACTGCTCCGTTCAACCATGTAAGGTATTAGGTTAGCTTAAATCATGGATGTGGGTTTTACGTCTTGAGTATTCAACAAAATACGATACCATAATTAAATAATAATCGACAATATTAAATGGCAGATTAAAAATATATGTTAAATAAATAATAAAGGGAGAATTTTTTTTTCTCGATAACAACTCAGGGTTTGAAACTATTTGAAATAAGTAATAACGTGTCTTCAATAAATATAGGTTAAATTTTGAAATACAGAAACATGCCAGAGGATTTATAAGTTTAAGTTATATTAACTACAGCACGGTAACAGCAGGCATATGACAATGAGAAATCAATTTCACGTCACTAAGTGACCTCCATACATTTAGGCTTTGGGCAAACATGCCAGTCTAAAACACACCTTTTTTTGTTTATGTATTTTACAATAGTCTTTGCTTTGTTTGGCCACGTGTGGTTCCGTAAAATGAGTGACAGGTGACTCCCCTGGGATCGACAGTTTATTCCTATATTGCTCCATTACTAACCACACAATCATATCGTAAAGAAAAGTGATCCACTTTCAAGATACAAAAGAAACTCGTGCTTTCCCAGACTCCTTCAATACTCGGGTGTGGTTCATTTCTAGGACATAACGAACAGTTATTTCTCCAGGCCTTGGTTGTTTAACGTTTATAGCAGTAGAACAATGAGACCTTTTTTTGTCTTTATTAGAAGATCGCATGACTATCAATGGGTCCTTTTTTTTATATTCCAAGTTCACGAGATTATCGAGAAACCACTCGAGCGAATTGCATGTACGTGTTGTGTAATTAATATTTTTTTATTGTCCGGTATTAGAATTGTCAGCCTCTGGAATTGTTACAGATAGATCAAAATCAGTGTACTGAGGCTAGTTCGAAATTCTACAGAGTAACGTTTCCCAAAGTGTGGGGCGCGCATCCCCCTGGGGGAGGGGCGTAAATGATCGAGCGATGAGGTTGTTCTTGTTGTTAAGCGCAAAGCTACACAATGGGCTATCTGTGCTGTGTCTACCATGAGTATCGAAACCCCGGTTTATAGCGTCGTCAGCCTACTGAATTACCGCTGAGCCACTGGGGATTAGAAGAGTTACTAATGCAATAATGTAAAATTAAGCGTTTTAACATAATTTTTATTAATGAAATTAATACGTAATTACTACAACACAAATAGCATTTTAATGTGTATCCGTGTTTTACAACTCGTCACTGAACTCACTCTTTCAAAAAAACAACAAATAATGCGGAAGCTCGCGCCAGAAAGCATGTTTATTAAAGGGGTGTGTGGATGACACATGTTTGGAAAACACTGATATAGAAGATTATTTATAGATGTTTGAGTTTGAAACTTTAAAATAAACATTAAACAATTTATATTGTATGCCGTGCTGATAGAAGTTTGACTATCTGATTCCGTCAGTTATATAGGGTGCAAAAATTGGAAGAATGGGCCGTTATATAGGGTACAAAATAGGAAGAATGGGCCGTTTTATAGGGTGCAAAAATAGGTTGAATGGGCCGTTATATAGGGTGCAAAAA